AAAAAAAAAAAAAAAAAATCAATATTAAAAAATATTGGTACTATAAAAATATTTTCTATGAAATAATATTATTTCCCCCTGGGCCCTAATTTGTATTTATTTCATTTAATGTTTTAGGATAAACCAACAGCAATGGACTGGTCTCCACTTGGAAAGGATCTAATAGTAACTGGAGATGAGAAAGGAACTATTCTTTGCTGGAATTTCATTGACATGAAAGTGAAATCTTTCACTCCAGAACATGGCCACATATTCTGTCTCAGTTGCAGTCCACACAATGTTGGAGATGTTGTTGTTGGGTAAATTTAAAGATATAGGCCTACTGCTATGGAACCCCAAAAGGACAAACCACAAGTGGTGCAGTGCAAAAGTCAAGTTGCTGTGCGAAGTCAAGTGGCGCAGGGCAAAACTAAAGTGGCACCGTGCAAAACTAAAGTGGCGCAGTGCAAACCTAAAGGTGGTGCAGTGCAAAACTAAAGTGGCGCAGTGCAAACTCAACCACTTTACTTTTGCACCACACCACTTGTGATTTGTCCTTTTGGCATTCCATATATTGGCTGCATGCCAAAAAAAAAATAGTAGACCTCAAAATTTATGTTGAAAAAATGTTGAAAAGCTCATTTGAAATTATCAAATATAAAGTTAATAACTCCAAACAGAGGCAGATCAAAAACCTGTTTTACTACTGTAACAAAAATTTATTACAAACCAATCTAAGGGTCTACTTACGTTAATAAAGGAAAGATGTAATTTACATGTCCATTAGTTGACAGAAAAACATTTTTCTTTTCTTTCTTGTATTTTTAATTGTAAGTTAAAATACAAATTAAGCAATTTAAATATGGAATCAAAGTTTGCTCATGACAGAATATCTTTAGTAAAATAATGTGCTCTTTATAGTTTTTGTATAATAATATGGGAAAGCAAACATCATAAAATAAAAATGTGTTTTTGTCTAGTAAAAATTAAAGACTAAGGGTTTAAAGATAATTTAAAAACGCTCATGGAACTAAAAATAAACAAAATATTCCATTAATGTCAGTTGAGGTAAAGCAAAATACGTGGTGTTGCTAAAGCACAGTGACCATAGAAAATCAGTGTCGGTTTGTATTTTTGTTTTTATTTGGTACTGTAGACTTCATGGTCAATCAACACTTAATACGTATCGTTCTAAAGTATGAGAATTAGCTTGAAAAGTGCCCCTTTCAAACATCATACAGATATTTGAGGCTTGAAAAAACTACGAATATAGGTAATGAAAGTGCACTTACCACAGAAAAAACTGCTGGCAGGCAACATACATGAAGACAATACATGAAGTTGGAGCTAAGAATAGACTCATTCAACAAAGAAGAAATAGAAGTTAACCACTCTATTTTATCCATTTTTAGGTCAAGGTCCAGTTACATGTTAACCTGTTAACTACGCTGTATGGAATCCCATTTTATCAGTCTATTAATAGCTGCCATTGATTATAGAACAAAACGGAGGTTTAGAAACAAAACCATGGATAGTTACCAAGGTCTGTTATTACAGTTAATATCCAAGAAGATAACTTTTTAATTTCCATCATTTTCTTCTACAGATACAAAAGTGGAATTGTATTAGTTGTCAACATTGGTAAGAGAGGTGGTATCATACATAAGCTCAGAGGTCATGATGATGAAGTACATTGTGTTGTTTGGTGTCCAATTCCAGGAGAAGACATAACAATTACGAAAGGATCACCAGGTTCAGGTAAGGAAGCAGATAAACAATGTGCACCTTCCAAGTCTTTCATCTTCTCACACATGATGGCCTGCAAATATAATTGTTGTGCCTCAGTCTGACATTGAAACTATGTTTATAAAATGCCTTTAGCACAAATTGTTACTGTACACTACATAGCCCACCATTAATCACCTGGAGATAAAATAAACCCCAATATTTTTTGCTTCAGACAACAACCACTTTACTCTATTATAGGCCCACTATAGCCACTGTACACCATAGCTCAACAGTTGCTCTGAGCAGGAAATGCATGTTTTCCAGCCCTGCATGATGTCCATTCCGTGATACATAGAAAGTAGATTTGTTGCTGCGAAGCAGCCAATTCATATTCTTGACAGCAATTTGACCTCTGAAAGGTCATTGTCAAAAAACAAGGGCCTAATGGCTCGCTGGCTCACACTTGCGATGTCTCGCACTTGTGATCAAATAACACACTGGCTCGCACTTTGGCAACACTCTTTGGCAGTCAACTCGCCCCTAGAAAACCCGCCCTTGGAAACTTGCCCCATAAAAAAATGTACACTTCCTAGACCATGCAATCTTCAAAGTAAAAATTGTAACCTTTGGTAATCAACTACATTTCCCACATACATAGAAATTTTTGAAACTTTATTAAAAAAAACCTAAACCATAATTCACCACTATAGACACTTTTTGACAAAAATGAATTACGACTTTGTTACCCAATGAGAAGTGTTGTAATATAGACAATAGGTCGTGTCTCATATTATTTGTTATAGTTTTATTATTCATTATTTTCACTTGACTCGCATAAATAATTTTGTTCGAAGAACATTTATATGCAGTTTTACTTCGCAGCACTTCACTTGCAATTTGCAATTTCTAGTTATAATAGATATCAGTGACCATTTTTCGATAGATAAATTGATAAAAAATACTGATGTTTTCAGCGTAAGATGCAGGAACACTACCTCTCACCCAAACGCTCAGCTCAGCTTAGTCTTTTTCTAATTTTTTTTCAGTACACAGTGAAGACCAGCAAACATCTCCAAATACAAATGGGTGTCTTCTTGCTTCTTCAAGTCGGGATAGAACCATTCGCGTGTGGAATATGAGCCAGGGAAAAGCTGTCATGACCCTTAGATTACCATCTAGAGTCGGTGGCTTTCGGGCTAGAGAGAAGATAGAGGAGGACCCTAGGAGAAGCAGAGTGTGGTTGACCCTTTACTGGCCTAAGAATGCACCACGACGTTTCATATCAAGTTCGCATTCGTAAGTTTATTTGCATTGGGGATGAATTGGTTAGAACAGTCAAAAGGCTGTGGTGGCCAATACCTAGTGGTTAAGTCGTACATTTATGTGTTCAAAATCTGTACTGTGTAACCTGTTATCAAGAAAGCTTTTCCAATATCGCCCAAGTGTACTGGAAGTGGAGTTATTTTTAGTTTTGATAAAAAATCCTGTTGTCCCAGGAGTTGAACCAAGGACCTTATCTTAAAATGTTTACCCTCAAGCATTCAACTCCATTCAAAAATTTTTTTTTTTTCTATTCTTTTGTTCCAAATGCGTGCCTCCTGTTAAAACTTAAAACTTATTCAAAGAGAATGAAACATTAATAAAAGATAACTGCCATTACATTGATAGTAATTTTACATATTTACTTTTTTATTTTATTATTTTTTAACTATATTTTTTATTAAACTCTTGTGTATTGTTATAAATTATTTTATAAAGAGCGGTAATGCTTTATTTATAATTTTATTACCTAATTTTCATATTTTTTAAAGTTTGTTCTTATATTTTTAAAAAATGTTTTTAAATGATTTTTTTTGTTTTTCTGCTATCAGAGGGGACATGCTGTCCTGGGACTTGTGTAAACCAGGTAAAAACAAATGGGATGTATTTGGTCAGGCAGATGGTGTCTGTCATACACGGATTGTGTTCAACATCAGTTTTGGAGGCGATCCTGCTTCAAAGACGTTTATCACAACATCAATGGATAGACAGGTAATGGTATAACATGTCCGACTCGACTATGAATAGATTAAACTACAATACTTTAAAATCTGTATGCAACAGTAATATGGTTTTTTAGTTTGTGACATGTATGCAATAGCTTAATAAAAACACAAGGCAGAAAAGAACGAAACATTAACAAGAAACAAGAACTAAATTAAGCAAGAAACACAAGATCTAACAACATTATACATAGTAAAATACATAAAAAAGCAAAATAATAATTATAATAAAAATTGTACATACAGTAAACTGTCCATTTTACGTACCCCTTGGTACCAAGGGGTGTTCGTAAATCGAAAAATTTGTAAACTAGATCAGGTGTCAGTTTCTAATACATTGGCCTAGCTATCCCCTGCCATTGAGCGACCATGCCTAGCACAAACCGACAGTGCAGCAGCGTGGTCTACTGCACTAGAGCATAGCTGAATTTACCTTCGATAAAAACCAAATTATTTTAATCGTCATTCTTCCACAAATATTATTTTAACTCTTATTTAAACATCTGTATGTTTTATGGACTTTTCTATTGTGTTCTTCCTAGTTGTTATATCGCCAAATTGTGTTGTTTACATGCATTTTGCGATCATATCTAAAGGCATTCACAATGTCAATAAGTTGCTGACCCCAACACTCAAGTTTGTCATCGTAAACATGTGCGCTCAATCCGACGACACTTGCGTTGGTAGTTCATTGTTTTGGTTAGGTTTATTACATTAATAGTGATTATTATACAGGAAATAGAAGAAAAGATCGAACTATTAATAAATAATACAACTTGATTTTATTAAGAAAAATATACATTATCACTTTGTAAAACGTGCGCAATAGGACTTTTTTACGGTAATAATTGGTCGATGATGACGTCATTTGGGGCAAAGACCATTCGTAAAATCAACGTTCGTAAAATGGACGTTTTACTGTATTAGGCTTAGAGTAATTATTATAGGCATATATTCAATAATTATTTACAAATCATTGAATTTTTAATTCTAGACAAAATTCTACAAAAAAATGTAATTTATTAGCAATCCATTAATAGGTTTATTGAAAAATAATTGACAGATAATAAAATGGAACATGGACAGCTTGCAGTCTGAGTGGAATATGCCATCTTTGGGTGGTTTTATGTACTGTCTGGCCACTTCACCTCTAGACCCTGGACGACTAGCCATAGGATCTGGTGACAATTTAATCCGAGTCTGGAATACGTCATCTCTCGGCAATCAGCATGATATCACAACATTTTGGCAAGGCATCAAGTCAAAGGTCACGGCTGTAAGTATGAAACTATACACCAATAAACAGTTGTTATTTGTAGGTAGTAGTATTAAGTGATTTGAATCACTTAATCAATTAGAACAAATTGATACAAACTCAAATTATATTACCAAAAATTAAAGACATCAAAACAAAGTTTTATATATAGATTACACTGGTGGAAATTATATGTTTGAGTTGGTTCATTGCACCATATTTCTGTACATCAGGTGTGGGCATAAAAATCGGTTGGAGGGCCAAAGTAAATTTTGGATTTAACACCGAGGGCTGCACCCAAACTTTGATGTTTCCATTGAGCTTCCAAAAACCTCAAATCCCAGCTTTAACAGTAACAAACCACAGTGTGTTTGCTGTCAATACCATAGTGATTTAAATATGGTTGAAGAAAACAGCTCCATAAATATATGGAGATGAATAACGCCCCCCCCCCCGACCTGGGTTACCAATCACAGGGTCATGGGTTAATTTCTGTCACAACCAAAACAACTCCACTCCCTAATGAATAAATGAGATTTAGTTTATGTAGAGCATCTTGGATTTATTTTTTGTCTTGTGAAAAGTTTCGTTGTTTGGCATATCTTTGTCCTTGGGCCTAAAATATATATATAAATAAACATCTCACAGTTCTTCTTTCTCTGTTGTATTAATGGACAAATGGACAGTTAAAGTATTCTTTCTGGAATTTTATTATATATATCTTTCCATTGGAGTTGGTTTAAGCAGGATTTTGCTTATAAAGTTCATCTTTGATATTCCGGTGGACTCTAATAAGAGAATGAATGGGCCATTTAACAAAATCTCTAAACGATATTGAATTTGCATCTTTTTTCTACGATTGATTTGCCTAGGCATTTGCTGGTTTCAATGAATCTCTTTTTATGCATTATAGTGAAAATATTTGAATGACTAAATTCTTATTCTGTGTGGACTTTGTTTCAGTTGGCATGGCATCCTAAAATTGAAGGGTGGTTGGCTTATGGCACTGATGATGGCAGAGTTGGTATACATGATGTGTTTGCCAACAGGTAAATGAACATTAAACTTAAAAACCTTCGTACAGTTACTACTATTTATGCAGGCATTGGAAAGGGGTATGCATACAGTATTATGTAATTAATTTAGAAAGTCTCAAAATACTAATATTTACCTGTGTTTTGGGAAAAATACAATGTGTAAAATCTGTCAATTTCTACAAGTACTAGTACAGTTCAAGTGTTTTCAGTCGAGCATGATCATTCAGCATACAACAACTAATATATTCAACATAAATAATTTGAAATAACATTCAAATCCAAGTACTTGAGTGGAGTTGAATAGCTTGGTGGTTAAGAAACATGCCTTCCAATCCCAGGGAAAAAGTCCTGCAACCTGTCAGTTGCAGGACTTTTTCTCACGATCAAAAAGCATCATGTGTGTATGTTTGTCTTGTGTGTCGTGGACTGTTTTATGTGTACTGGGCCCTCTGGGAGAACAGTAATGTGTTACTGAAGAGGAAACCCAGTATAAAGAACAAATAAATTAAAAACAATACTTTTTAATGACAGTTATGTGTTTTTTATTGTAGACCGCCTAGATTGTCAAGTACCTATCATAAAAGGACTGTATATCGTGTTTGCTGGGGACCAGTGTGCTCAAAGACAAGTGAGTAACATTTCCACCTTCTCTTATTGTACTTAGAATTGGCTTGAATGTAGGTAAAAAGACCCCCAATAAATATGGTTCCAATGAGTAAAATAGCCCCAGTATTAAAAATATGGATAAAAAGATGGTAAGCAATTAAGATTAATTTACCTTGGTCGTTTATCTGAGTCTATTTTTAGCACACATGAGAAGGCACATCAAGATATATGATATATGACCGGCTCTGACAGTACACGCCGTTTGTCTCAATTTCTGATTTCCCACAAGCACCCAAAACATTCAAGAATCAGAATTTTGAAAATTTTCTGGTTTTTTTTGCATATTATAAAAGAAAATATATAAAAGAATATTTATTCAAAATAGTAGTCACTAAATCAAAATGAAAAGTATATTAAAATTATTTTTAAAATACAAATCTTAATAATAAACTGTTTATTTTGAAATCTTTGGAAGCTGTTTTCTCAAACATACATGAATGATATTCAATGAATTAAATAAATACTGAACTGTTTGAAAAAGAATTAATTCAGAATCTAAACAACAACACATCACGGCTGAATTGCACGATACTCACAGTGAAACATTATATAAATTATAATCTGAATTATTAATTTTGCAAGATGAACATCAACAATTAAATTAAACATTTAAAATACATCAAATATTAAAAAGTAAAAATGAATAAAAACACAGGCAACATTATAAAGTTAAAATGAATTAATGAAAGTCAGTTTAAGGAACTCACCTGCTGCGGGACTGGAGCAGTGTCCTGGACAGGAGTGCGCTACTGCTGCTGGGTAGACACTGACTGTGCTAATCCTAGGTGTAGGTGTAGGACTTATAAACAAACAAGTCAAGTCATCGGACTGATATACGCTGTCTCTTATACACATCTTGCAGTTAATATTAATCACATTATTTCAGATACAAATAGTATCACGGTAATGTACTGCATAAGATGTATTATTTATGTGGTTAGAGCATTACATATAGATGCAAGGCCTATTTTTACAGAGCACGACAGTAGTATGTGACAGCGACTAAATCATGACTATGACGATGACTAGAGAATGTTACAGCTTCTATAAATAGAAATATAATTCCTGCTGAACGCCATATCGCCTTCTCGCAATGTTAAGCATAATTAGTGTAGATTGCCACTAGTCATGTCATTGTAAGGTTAAATTTTGTTGTCGCTTTCCACTGTTGTGGTCTGTGTAATAAAGCCTTTATACTGCATTTTAAAGCATCTGTGGTCACAGTGTACACAAGCAGCAGACAACAATGATCACAAATTAAAATGTGTCTGAAGTAAACAAAATCTGTATATTTGCAATACCATTTTTCTGCAGTTCCAGATATGCGATAAATTCTATAAAAAAAACAAACTATACCATATATAAATTATATTAAGGCACAGTAAAATTTCAAGTATTATAATGTTAAAATTTGGTTTATGTTTAATCAATCCACTGTTTTGGAAGGGTACACTTTCACTTTTCGAGAAAAATAGAGTTAAAATTTGCATTTTTGTAATTGGCAACAAATTGTCATACCCTTCTGAAATTTTACATTACTCTATATCTATAGACAATATGATTATATGTAAAATTTTAATTACAACAATTGGTGTATTGGAAAGTTGCACATATACACTGTTTTACCTTGAAAACATTAAGAATTGTCAGGCATGGTATTGCAGGTTATTTTTGGAATTTATCACATGTCTGGGGCAGTCATATAAATTATCTAGCTTGTGCATACACATGTGTTAGAAATGTTAATATGAAAACACCATCAACCAGTTGATTTTGCTGTGCTAGACCAACCCCCCCCCCACCCGCTCAAAAGAATATTTTAATACAGTTCCGAGGCAAAGCAACGTATCTTCATCGTAGATACGTTGTTTTGCCCAGTAAGCTTGCAGTTACGTTGTTCTAGTAAGGAAAGTCACTAGATTTTAAGTTTTATGTAAAGTGGTGCTATCTCCGAAATGACTCATTGTTGAGATCTGAAATTTTCACAGGTTATTCACGAGTGCTTAATATACTCCCAAGTTATATTACGTGTACTGTATCTCAAAATCGATAAAAATTCAAGTTACGTTATTTTGACTTGGGACAGCTGTGCCATTCTGTACAATTATGACAGGTATTCACACCACTAGTTGCATTTTTTTGTTTTTTTCAACAGCACATTCTACCACAAAGGACTGAGTTGTCATGGAGACCAGATGGTGATGCTGTTGCAATAGGCAATGAAGATGGGTCAGTAATTTTAAAATTCAGGTTGTTTTATTTTCAAATTATTTTTTTGTGAATTTTTGGATAGGTTGTGTTGGTGTTCTTTGTAAATACATGTAGTCTAGTTAAGAATATTACTACAATATTTTTTCCTGATTGTCAAAGTTCTAGCCAATCGGAATCATCAGCTGATCAATCGAACCAATTTTTTGCAGATCTATTGAACTATTCCAAGCACCAAATCTTCTTCAAATTTGCACCATCTTTGCTCAACACAAGTTAATTAACTGCCTGCAATGGTTTCCTGATTGTCGAAGTTCTAGCCAATTGGAATCATCAGCTGATCAATCGAACCAATCAGAGAAAAGTTTTTGGTTAGCCTCTGGATCTAGTGAGCCAATGATTCATGTTTATGATCTAAAGGGCTCCCTTATTTGCAAAACATTAAAACAGTGTAACAAACAAATAACCAACAGTTTTTGTGTACTTCATGGCCATACAATGAAAGTTACAGATTTGTCATGGAACCCTGCAAGAAATGGATATCTTGCTTCAGCATCTTATGATGGCACTGTACAAGTAAGAAATAATAATAGTAATTTATATTGAGAGAGTGGTGGTATAGAGAGGTGATGTTGCTTAAATGATAGTAGTAGTTGCCATGACTACAATTGCGGTGAAGACAGCGATGATGCGTAAGATGTTATGGTGATAATTGATAATAATATAAGATATTATGATAATGATGATTAGATTGTTCAATTAATTCAGATGATGAGCCATTTAATAAAACTCCTCTCCTGAATATAAACAGAGCAATCTACTATATTTGTAACAGTGAAGATATTCTGAACAATTTACTGTACTTTGCAGAACCATCTATATAGTTCACTACAAATATTAACTAGATAGTGGTTATACTAATACTGTTGATTGATGTAGTGGAACTTTTTTTGTTTTTTTTTGTTGATGACCTGAAAGCATGTGTACTGTAGTTTTTAAATCTTAAAATCATGATAAGTGTATCCGTTTGGTTGTCCTCCACTTTTCCCCATTGTCCCTCATGTTTTTATTGTATTCAAGATTTTATTGTCTGTAGATTCTTTTTTAGTAATTTTTAGTGTTCAACTTCAATTTATACTGTATTTGATCAAATAGCAATAAAGTATTATCGTATCGTATCGTATTGGATACAAGTTTAACAAAAAAGGTAAATATATCTTTAAGAAAGTGGTATCTCTGAGCCTGATTTTGAACAGGTTTGGGATGTTGTGAACAAGGGAAAGCCAATTGCTAACTTCCGTGGTCATTCTGGACGTGTGCTGGCTGTGGAGTGGAGTGTTTTAGATGAAGATTCCATTTGCAGTGGAGGCGATGACTTCACATTAATGAGGTGGAATGTATCGAAGCAACAACATACTAACCCTCCAAAAAGTAAGAAAGCACAAATGTGACAAGTTTCCACATATCCAGACAAAGTTAACATCCATGGTATTAACAAATGACCAGGGACAAAAAAGAAAGCACTATTTCTATTTGAAATTTGTTACCTATGTAATCTAAAATATTTTTTGATTTGGCAGACAAGAAAGAAGCTCAGCAGATGATATACTCCAGACCTAAAGGAAAAACAAAGCGCAAGAAAGAGAAAAAAGGGTTTGAAAAAAGTGAACAAAACACAAACAAGGAAGAAAGCAGTGTTTCAAAACCACCAAGTGAAATGACATTTGATGAACTCCTTGAACAGCGGAAGAAAGAAATTCTCCAGGAAAAGTTGGAGAGCGAGGAAAATATGATGGCAGCAAATCAAGAAGGACCACAAACAACCCTTAATTCTTCAACTGTAGAGGGCAACAGACAAATAGACCAGCAAGCACTAAAAGACATCAGGGATGGAATTGGAGCCGGTGGTGACATGTCAGGAAAACATGCAGTGGAGCTCTTGACATGTAAACCTAAAAAAAGTAAGAAGGATCCACCACAAGATGGTGGCGAAAAAGGGCACTCACCCCCTGGAGGCATTAACAAAATATATATACCTGTAGATTGGAGTTGGGTTAGTGGTGAGATGCTTGCCTTCTAATACCAGGGTGTTTGGTTCAATTCTTGTATCAGCGCAGGACTTTTTTTCACAACAATTAACGTAAGAATGTGGCAGTTTTGAGAATTCAAGCGTCATTCATTTATTTAAGAGGGCCCCTGAATATCAGCCAACTCGGGATATGCTGGTATGCATGGT